GTTTATGTTGACTGTTTCAGTTTTACGTAATTTTCAACATTTTTCTGTCTCGATCTCAAGTTAAAAAGTTAAAAACATTGGAGGGTACATGTTTCTAGAGGAGTCGCAATAGTGCCGTGCCAATCTTCAAACGGCGAGGAAGTGAAATTGACATCTTTATATCTTCATTGATCTGCTACTGAGCCGCCATGGAGTTTTGTACTATGCTGAAAACCAGCAAATAAAAAGGTTTTCTATTGCTAAAAGCCACATACAATTGGACAACTTGCCCTCCAACTCCAACTTACCTGAGCTCCTTGTCACAGGGTTTTTCAATCTGCTTTTAAAGGATTGAATAGAAAAGGAATTTGAGATCGTAAATACCTAGCCTGACATACTTATGAAAATGGGAAGAGGTACAAGTACAAACGATCCCCTTTCTTTCTTCAGGTGCATTTTATGCATTCATTCAGTTTCAATAGTTTCTCGACGAAGTTAACTACTGATAGCAATGGCTATGGACAAGAGCAAAACATAATCGTTACTGCTCCACATCGCAAGCATTCGTAAGCCAAGGTACTAGTTGTAGTAGTATCATTAAGTAGTGGACTTTTTCCCTGTCTGGCCTTCAACTAGATCTTTAGGAAGAATGTAACGCTAATAAATTTGTTGTCCAAAGGAGTTGGGGAAAGACCAGTAATGTGAGTGTGTCACCCGTTGAATCACACCACACGCACACCCATGACCCAACAAAGGAATTGGAGAAGTTCCTAACCAACAAGGCAGAGAAAAAGATCTAGTCCAAGAAACTCCATTCCTTTCCAAGAAAGGCGTACTTTGTGACAATGAGAGCACAAACACTGAAGCCCAACAAATGGGCAATTTGGCATGACTCTTTTGACTGCCTTGTTTCTGCAATTTGGCAACCAAGCAATCAACATTGAAGTAGAAGCGATGAAAATCATGTGGAAAGAGAATGAATGAGAGAGGAAAAGTGGGACCAGGTTCACTGTCTCATCAACCAAAGCAAATTGTTTCTATTCTGAGCCCTGCCTCTTCTGCCTGCATTTCCCGATGAGAAAGGAAGGGTTAGGAAACTGGGGTGAAACGAGAATTATTGTGGGATCCTTTTGCAAGATAGGGTATTTATTGATTAAAGTATATACCATAAATGCTTAGAGGTATTATATTAAAATGGGTTGTGGGGGAGAGAAGATAAGGTGGTGCAACCGTGATAATGCGCGCGGTGTAAAAAACCCCAACAAACAACCAAATCTCTCCCTCCTGGATTCTTTTTATCCTATCGAACATCTTCTTGCAGAGAACATGTCGCTTTATTCATGTCCTGTTGATAAAATTCAGTATTTTATTCCATTTTCTAATGCATGGAAAGAGAAAGTGATGAGATGAGAAGGGGCGGGTCAATGCTCTATAGCTAGTTGTAGTGGTGGTAATTCTGCTCGTTGCTTGGGCTTGGGACCGTTCTCTGAAATCAGGGTGCTCAAGATTTTTTCTTGTGTTTTGGCTAGATGTTGCAAGAAAGAAGCCAATCAAAATCCCCGCAAACAACACATGCTTCTTTTATTTTCTCTTCTCTTTCTAGTTTCTGTCATACTATCACTTTCTCCCCCATTACTTCTGCAGAGTACAACTGGATCCGCTAGGTAACGTAAAGAAATCTCAGCTGTTTATTTTTGGGCTTCAATGAATTAGAGAATCTCCAGCACATTAAGGCTATAGTTTATCGATTCACTTGTCCCACGCTACTTTTATTTTGTTGTAAATGAAATGAGCAAGAAGAGACACTATGACAAATTATGCGTATGATTTTAAGTACAAACATAGCATTTCTGTTGAACCAATGATGAACTTTTAACCGATGTTTTCGAAATTCTAGTTGTACATAGATGCAAGCATGTAACGTTCGGAACCCAATTGTTTAGAAGCAAAATAATTGGTTCAGAAATATGTCGACACCAAGCTTCTAACATATGATAATCAAAGTCTTTCCAGAGTAGCAGCCATAAACATGCACTTTAAAATAAGGACCCAAAAAAATTACAAAAAAAAAAGAAAAGAAAAGGAAGAACCGACGCCAAAAGGATGGACCATGCAAAATATCCATTGGCAGAAGCGATAGTGAAAGCCATGTTATCATCCAATATGAACTATCACATTTTGCACATTTCATACCATAGAAATGCTGCTAACCATCTCGAAGGTATCGAAAGAACTGTTGAAAAAAAATTAAAGGGTAGGTTACAGAAACCCTTTCTCGCTGATGATTTGGTGCGTTCCTCTTTGAACCTAGGCTGCAGATCAATCACATTTTTAAGCACTAGATATTAAATTTACATGCATTTGATTACGTGCATGGAAAATTTCGTGAGCATGCAGTAGTTTTGATGGGTTTTTTTTTTTTTTTTTTTTTTTAAATTAACACCAGACACCAGTAACTCTCAAGTCTCTCTCAAGCCTCCCGAGTCTAGAATTAATGGAGCCGAAGTTACACACAAAATAGTTGGTCGTGAGACAATTAATACGATGTTGTCTTTTAGTACAATCAACCTTTGTCGCTTCCCAAAGGTCTTCTGTTTGTGTTAAGACACTCTTCTTAGGTATACCTGTTACCTGTCCCCATCAATACATACATCTTTACATGGTCTGATTGCAGACCATTCTACACAATCCAGATACCGATTTATGGGAAGTAGGTGAGAGAACAGAGATTTGAAAACAATTTGATTTATCTGAACAACAATTGTTGTTGATCAAACTAATGTTGGAGTGATACATAAACGTTTTAAGAGGAAGTATATATACAGACTTTAGCGGAATCATTAGTTAACAAATGTTATGTCGACTCAGGGTAAGTAAATTTTGATTTTAGGGTTTGCTCGCTACATGCAATCAAGGTAATAATTTGATAGTCTTGAGAAATGAACCCTCCATTTTGACATAGGATTATTAACACTGTTTTTAACTTCCATTACTACAATTTTGTTCAGATGTGACAAACCCACAACTTTCTTGTCATTGTTTTTCGTTTGTGCAGTTAGAATTTAATTCTGTCGAAAAAAAAAGAAGAAAGAAATGTGAATGATGCTCTCACTATTTTATTTTTCATGGCAAGAAACTGCGCTAAAAGGGTGAAGGTAGAAGTGTCATCACAAAGAAGTGAATTGTCATTAACATTGATCAGAAAAACTTATGACCTAGTAATCAATGATATGATAAAAGTGTGAATATTTGACACGTATCAAGTCAAAAGAACGAGGGAAAAGAATTCTCGAGAAATGAAGCTCTGGCATTAAAACTTGTGGCAGAAAAGCCACAGTTAAACATACTGATGAGCTTTGGATGCAAAATGGAATGAGAGGATTTTACGCAAGGCAGGCATAGAAATGAGAAGGTGGGAAAGAGAGAAGGGGGATGGGGGGCTGAGTTTACCGGTGGTAAAGTTAGTTGGCAAGACCCAGCACATGAAACAGTTGCAGCAGAGGAACCTGATCCACCTCGAGAAACGTTCCATTCCAGGGGGCGGGGCATTTTTTTTTTAGCTGAAGCTGCAGCACTTGTGGATAAATTGATACTATCATAATAAAGGAGGCCCCCACCGCCTGATCTATCATATCTGATCACCGGCACCGCAGCCGGCCGGCGACCGAGTTGATTGGTTTTTGGGTTGGGTTGGGTTGAGTCGTGCTGGGGTGAATCATTCATTAAAAGGGGTCTGGTGAGACCTCTGACTCATGTCATGTGAGTGGGGTTTTAGCGCTCTTAAAAGAAAGTAATTTTTAAGGCAAAGTTTAGTCTCTCATCAGTGTTCCACTCAAAAGCATATATCCCACAAAAAAAAAAAAAGAAGAAAAAACTCGTTCATGCACCATCGAAAGCACTTATGGCAATCCTCTGGAGCAGTTGGTGGATCCGAACCATTCAAATGCTGGGGGCCAAATTCTTCTTCTGCTAATATAACCTTTAAGCCTTCTTGCCCTTTTCATCTTCAGAGCTAGCTATTATTTTTTAACTAAGATGCCTGCAAGTTATGCCACGGACATTTATCAACTAGTAAATAGAATCTGCTATCGTTTGGAAAAAAAAAAAAAAAAAAAATCTAGTAAATAGAATCCCTATTTGGACCCGAATAAAGAAAAATTTTCTCATTTGCCTAGTTTTATGTACAGTGAGTGGTGACTTCAACCGAACAAAGCACTTGCAATTATCAATGCCAATTAAAAGAACTCTATATTACACCATCGATTTGCATAAAATAATTTGGGATTATCGTTTATGGTATGTGTAGTATGATCCCATCAGTGATTTGCTTGCATATTTTGTAATTGTACTTTCACACTAGTGCTATATTTTGTAAATCCCATCAGTGATTTCCTTCATTCTAAATTTGATAACCCTTGATGCAGCTCAGGATAGAAAAATACCTTATTTTGAGCTTGTGACACCATTAGAGGTGCAAACAAGTCAAGTTAAATCAACTATGTTTCCAAACTTGCTCGATTAAAGTATGAGCAAGAACTCGCATTGACCGAGTTTGAGTTCAAACAGTTCAACCTACATGATGAGTCGAGCTCGACTTAATATATAAAGCTTATAGAGTTTAATCGAATTTAATTGAGCTTCTCTCACACACACATATATTTATTTAATATTTTTATCTATTAGTATGAAATGTCTATTTTGTCTCTCAATTAAAATTAATAAAATATAAATTTATACTTCTTAAACTTGATTGAGTTTAATTAAACTCGATTGAGCTAGATTGGGCTCGATTTGTACGAGTTCAAGTTCAAGTAAAGTAAAATAAAATTGACTTTGAAGAATTCAAATATTTTAACTCGAGTCGATATCGAATAGTATAATGCTCAGAGTTAGATTCGACTTAATTACACTCCTAAACACCATGAAATGAAAGAGAAGTACTCCATGATAATACTAAAATACTGGAATAGCATTAATGTAATGCGTAAAATTGAAACCCACTTGCTATATATAGCATTCCCACTGGATTGATAATCTGTTCCCGATATCACTATTTTATTCCCCTTTTTGTCCCCTTCATTGCTTCGGCAAGCAAACCTAATACCCAGTAGTGTGTTTGTGTGCAATAGTAGTTCTCTCTTTGCTTCACTTCGCTGCGACTGCACATTCTGATAAAACTCCCAGTCTACACACCCTTCTCTTTACCCTACCCATCCCTCTGCACACCAGTAATCTCAGCTTTTGAGCACTTGTGTAGTGCTTTCTCTGCCTCTTTTCCCAGTAGCCCACCTTTTCTTTTCTTTTTCTTTTTTTTTCCCCAAAATATATCTTTATTTTCAGGGGCTTCGTTTCACTAGTATAAAAACAGGAATTGTTGCAACCTGTTTCGCCATGGACGTTGACTTCAACAAGTCTACTCCCGAAGACCAGATGGATTTGATGCTGCTGATGCAGATGGACAAGCTCTCTGAACTCACCGGAGGATTCGCCGATATACACGAATTGCCCATGATGGATTTTAGTGCTAATCAAGGAAGCAATAATAACAATTCTAGTAGTGGTGCTGTTGATCATAATTCACATGCTCCTTCATCCGCGTTCTTGAACCTACCGCCATCCGTCTCCTTCACCTGTTCTCCTGGACAACTCCCTCAGGAACCTTCATCAGCGCTGCCTTTCCTGTCCAATTCAAGCTCGGGAAGGTGGAGAAGCGAGCTGGCGGGGGGAAACGGGTTCGCAACGGAATCCCAGAAGCGGAATTCAGTTGCTGCGATGAGGGAAATGATTTTTAGGATAGCAGCTATGCAGCCAATTCACATTGATCCTGAATCCGTGAAGCCACCAAAGCGAAGGAATGTGAAAATATCAAAGGATCCTCAGAGCGTAGCAGCCCGGCATCGAAGAGAGAGGATAAGTGAAAGGATTAGGATACTCCAGAGACTTGTCCCCGGCGGGACTAAAATGGACACTGCTTCAATGTTGGATGAAGCAATTCATTACGTGAAATTCTTGAAGAATCAAGTGCAATCTCTGGAACGGGCTGCGGCGAATAGGCCAACGGGGATTGGATTCCCAGTTCCAATGTCAAGCGGGAGTTATCTACCTATGGCAACAAAGGGTTATCATCATCAAGCTGCTCATCAGAATGTTCAGCACTATGCAGATGCTTAACGAAATTGGTTACTTGTTTATTAGTAGTTGAGGGCGAAGACTTTGAGAAGGATGAGAACTAAGTACTAGCATAAAAATTTTCATATCGTCTTCACTAGAAAGATGATAGCTTTTGTTGCTGATTTGCAGGGTTGTATAAAGACAGGAGCTATGCATATGGGAATTGCTTAGACTTGCATTCGCCATGCATGGTTGTACTTGGCAACTAGATTAATCATTAATAATCCAAATGGTATATATACTTATATATTACTTCCCTTGTTTCGCTTTTTTGGAAATAGTAGAGGCATCAAGTACTAAACAGTAGTACTAAATTAGATAACCATTTGCTTGAAAACAAGGTAGTTATAACAATTCTTTTAGTACGCCTTAGCGGCTTAGCCCAAGAATCGAGCCAGTTCTGTAGGATTCCGATCAGAAATAATCAAGCTCTTCGCCGAGGTAAAGGGTTCGACGGCTATGGTGCAAACTATCCTAGCATCATTTTGTCTGAAAGAAAATTCTTGATAGTAGCAGTACAATTCTTGGAGTGGGGAAGGGTGGGGAATGGGGATTGCCGGCTGCGTAGAGACTAGAAAGGGGATGAAAATTGGGACCATGGCCGCTGCAATTACTGGTGGGACATTGGTTGGGGAATTAACACTCTCCCAAGGTCAAATAACCGGCACATGCTCCTTAGACCGGCCACCTGTAGGTCCCGTCTGAAACTGACCCGGTTTCTCATTCGCGTACGCCTCTACTGTTCCAGAATGTGTCATTCCACTCTTTCTTTTGTCATTTATTTTATACCAACCAGTTCTGGAACTTTGTTAGAGGTTGATGATGATGTTCTGGTTAATATCTACCATCCTTTCATCAAATGCTAACTTGTTCGGATCTGTGCACTGAAATGCAGATGAGAATCATTCGAGGGACGATAATCTGAACTACTAATTGGAACGATGTTGCAGTATAACATTTCGTAGCTTATATATAGATTTTAACTTTTTTTTAATGATTATTAGAAAATATAAATGTTTAAACAAGTGAGAATAAAACAATTGATTATCAGTAATCAGAATCTAAAATTACACTGAGCAATCAAATCAAGAACAAGCCTATAATGTGATTGCTAAGGCCATACATGCAAGTATTTGATGGTTAAAAGAAATTAAGACATAAGTATAAAAACAAACGAGAAGGTAAAAAATTGATTTTGAAGGATCTAAAATCATATGAACTATGAAGTAATCAAATCAGAACAAGGTGATAGTCTGATTGCCAATGCTGCATACTTGCAATTTTTCTTGTTGAGATGCCAAAAAAAAGTAAAAAAAAAAAAAAAAAAGCACTGGAATTTTTGTGATAGCCGGGAGACAAAGTTGACATTCAGTAGTAGTTGGCATATTTTAGTAGACGGGATTCCATCAATTGATGATTGATAATGGACAGTGCAAGCAGAGCAAAAGTAGTTGGGCTGTTCTATGCTACCAAATTAAAATTGAAAAAATTACCCCGAGTAACCACTAACAAAGTTTTGACTACTTAATAATTTTTAAGAGGATGTACTTACTCATTAAATTATAAAAATATAAATTTTCAATCATTTCATTTATTTTCTCCATTAACTTTGTCAGATCTGGTTACGTCTTGTGACTTGTGCGACTCTCTTATATCTAACAAATTTATTGGTGTAAAAACGAAAGAAATGGTTCAAATATTATATTTTTGATAATTTAATAAATAAATACATACTTTCAAAAGTTGAATAATTAAAACTCTGCTATTCGAAAAGAAAGTTTGATATGGCTTTTTCGAGTAATTTGCTAATTAAAATAAGAATTCAAAAGAAAAAGTAAGAGGGGTGGGGTGGATTGCTAAGTCATAGAATGCACGAGAAATCCACGTGAACCACTGACAGAAGGCGGTGATCTTTTACGACTACCCTAGTAACGCTGATGACGTCGTTTTGGCCCCTCGTTAGACACGTGAAGGCAATCCACATCGCCTATCTCCCTTCCCACCTGGCTATCCACGTCTGATCATGGAATTCTTCAGCCCTAATTTGCATGGAATTCTTGATAAAACTTTGATTGAAAATCTATCTAGGTTTATAGTAGTAACATGAAAGCTCCGTTTGGTGGCTGTTTCTTTTTACATGTTTTTTAATTTGTTCTTTATTTTTTTCTAGGTAAATTTTTTTTGTATATAAACAAAAAAAAAAAGCACTAATTAATTAGAGAACGTTTTTAAAGTTTCCTAAAAACAGGCTAATTTCTATTAGAGGTAGCTCCATCGAACAAAATGACAAAAGGGCTGTTTGGTAAGTGGCTATGAGAGGTAGAAATGGGTCTCAAAAATTACTAATATCAATTGTTCCGTATGCTACTATGAGAATTATTGATACTTTCTGGATCTTACCCTTGTTATTCTCCACTTACAATAGATGATATGACTCCATCAAACAAAAGATGGAGGGTGTTTCGTTAAGGCAATTCCGCTGATGTCAATTGTTCTTACTTGTAACACGAGTTTCAAATTGACTGACAAAATCTAACATATTTGTGGTTCTAAATCTAACATGCTACTTTGTGGTTCTAAATGTGCCAACTTGCAGCTGATTCCGATGAAAAAATAATTTGATCAGTGGTTTTGTCCATGTACTTCTATCTTACGGAAAATTCTACATGCATCATAAACAATTTCGTTTTTGGTGGTTTCTAGTTTTTTTAGTATATCCTTTACGACAAGAAGATTGGCTTTATATGTTACTATGCACTTTCAACTTTCCTGTGTGCGCGTTTGGCGCGATCGATGGGGGCTAGGATAGGATCATTCTAAGTGCTTCTGCTTTCTAGCTTGTTCTTGAAAGTAATTCAGGATCAGTTTTAGTTTTGAGTGAAAGAAAAATAATCATCATTCATTTTGGAACACTGCATAAATAATTGTCATTTCACATATTGCCCACCGAACTTAATTTCTACAACGATCCTTGGTTATATTGTTTAGTTCCTCAAAGTTATAATCTTTGGTTGTACGTCAAAACTGAAGAAACATTTGTATGTACGTGGAGAATTAGCACATGATCCCATTTTTTATAAACTAATAAAGAGTAACAATTGACTTTCAAGATTCTTAGGGTGGTTAGAGAAGAAACGAGATGAGGAATGGCTTTAAAAAAAAAAAAGAAAGGCAGAAGGGTAAGTTGCCTCCCAAGGCAGTATAGGAGAATAGGCGTGTTTGTGTCTCAAGGATCATGCTCCACTAAAAGCCATTTGTTCCTCGGCATCCAAATCTACATCCAATCCAATCAAATCTAGAAACATTGAACTATAATATCAAGAGTTGAAATGAAAAATACATACAAAATTCAGTAGTGTTCAAACCATATTTGAAGACCCCATGTGGGACGTCCACTAAGGTCCTAACATTCGTTCCTTTTATTCAAGGGTTCTTTTGCAAGTGTCCTGTGGAAATAGGGCATGGACCTCCCCTTCCCAAGTGCATCGTATTCGATCGTCATAACATACTAAATATATTTTCCTTTTATCCACAATACGGCTAAAGGAATATATATGCAGAATTATATCTCCTTTCGTCACCTTTCGTGTATATGTAAGAATTTGAACATTCGAGTCAATGAAGTTGGAGTCAGATCATGTGTTAGAAAATCCAAAGATTAAAACAAAAAATTGCGAATGACATCAATAAAAGATATATGCAAAATTGCTAAGATATGTTTTCTTATACTATATAAGAATGAGTTGTGATCAAAGGGGGTTTGAATTTCAACCGCATGGATAGGGACTTTTTGGGAACGTGAAATGCTGTATAGTTTTTTTTTTTAAATCTTTTGGTACAATTGAGGGCAGCATATGTTTAGATATATTTATTGAAACGCTCTCATTTTGGTACATTTAAAGTTTTGATTTATGCAGACATCTGGGTATTTTTGAAATATGAAATTATTTTGCAATCATTTTTGCATTGAATATACCTCATATAAGCTTATGTGTTGGTATAATTACTGATATGGTGTTATAAACACGTTTAATTAATGTGTTGTTTTTGTTGTGCAATTGACACAAAGACATATTAACATATTGTACAATTAACACGTTGCTATAATTAGTCGTTAGAGAATATTCTTTTGTCTGAAACAACTTATGTCTGCTCTTGGACAATTTTTAACTGACATCTCTATAGAAGTCTTTTGGGAGTGATAGAATTGTAAAAGCATTAATAAATCAAAGTGTACAAGTATGTGCTGTAATTACAATGTACTATTATTAGCTTTATTATATTTGATGATTATATCTTTCCAAAATATAATATTATTTTTCCAATAAAAAGTCATCTCTAATCACAGACACCAAACACTCGCTCAATGTACCGGCACTCCCCTTAGTCTTGATAAATAAATATGGCCACGTATTTACTCTCTGTGCAAATGCATGTGTATTGTAGAGACGATCAATTAGCCAATTATTATTTCTAATAAGGTGGTTGGTTGGATTGGATTTCGGTGGGCCATTTGCAAATTACAGAAAAAAAGACAAAAAAAAAAAATCTATCGGCCAAAATCCTAAATTCCCTCTTATTTGTTTGTCCGTCCTATATGCTAGAAGGGACGTATTCCATTGCAAGCATCTGTCACCCATTTTGCCTACTGCCTGTTTATAGCAATGAGGATCTTCTTATTCTATGCTGTGCATAATTTTTTTTCTTCTTTTAACTAGAGACATGACAAGTTTTACCTCGATCAAATTTATCGAAGAACTGTGTAGAGATTTTTGTTTCTTTTTTTTTTTTTGGGGAGGGGGGGGGGGAGTTAGCTTGAGCAACAATTGTACGTGTATCTGTATTATGACGACTTAGGTCTTTCACCATTTAGTAGTTTACCACTGTAATTTATAGAAATTATCGTAAAGTACGGTCAAAATAAAAACCCTTATCATGCAACTCTTGAGTCCTCCAAACCCAGCTACATGTCAGTGGTGGCAAATTGGCTCATTGTCCTCTAATTAAGAATTCAGGATGAACTTTAGATTACAGCTTAGATTCTACTAACTTGAACCTTTGTTAAATTTTACTAACACATTTGGCCATCTTTTCTTCAGGTTCAGGAGGTTGATTCTTATGACCCCCATGAGGGGAAAATATCAAAATTTACCGCGAAGTTGCAGATTATGTAGATAGATTTTAAAAGCTCAATGCTCGTGCGTGAAATCTTCATCTTGGGACTTCTTATTTTTTAATGATTCGTCTCTTCT